TCAACTTAATGTGAAAAAATAAAAAAAATGACAGAAAAATTTCTGTTGAATTTTGAAAAAATAAATAGGCCATACTAAGTTGCTGGCTACTCTAGTAATAGTAATGGTTTTGATAAGTCAAAATCTATTAAAATACTTATTTATCATTTAAAATTCAATAAGTATTTGTTTAACATTTTTTCTTAAAAGAATTGAGTTTTGTTCAATCTATCCAATCATGGGCAAAATGTATATTGCCTAAAATCCCATTGATTATTGGTTTACTAAAATATCAAAAATATATCTTCTATTATTCAATAGCAAATCTAATTTAATAGCAACTTATCTCCACTTATCTTTTCTTCAAAAGAATTCGCCAGGGAGATCCTCTTTCCTTTGTGATATATTTTGGCTGCAAATGTGTATTTTGAGATTTTGCTTGTTTTTTTAGGCAAAAGTTTGAGGAGTAATTTAGTATTTTTCAACTTTATATTGTAGTACTTAGTCTTTTTAAATAATTACAAGTTTTAAGATCTTTCCTAATAAATATCATTTTTTTTCTAGGCTTCCATCTAATTTTCCCTTGATTTTTCATCTTGGACTAAGAAAACTTACTTTGTTTTCTAATCTTCAAATAATGTTTTTCCTTAAAGAAAAAAAGGTAAAGATGCTTTAAAGGGACAAACCTTCAATGAAAGGGGGAGAACCAAAGCAATTAACCGGGTATAACTTTCTTGGTGGTTACTCCCACACAAGCCCATACTGCCATACATCGTACAGTTATTAATGGCCGTTTCCTTCATTCTAAATGCTTTGACTTAAGCAACAGTCAGTTAGACATGATTAGCCACACACCATGTGAGTTTCATTCAAGTTACCATTATTTTATTAAATCCCCCAATCACTCAATCATACAGCTTTAAAGATTCAATCAATTAGACAAGTCAAATGTGCATTCTTTAAGCATCAAACATCCTTTTAGTACGTAATATTAGGTTTACGGAGCCTAATCATACGCCCAATTATTTTGCAATCATCATCATAACTGAAATATAAATAATCCTTTATCCATTCCCACCCACATTTTATAATCTGACAAACCTCTCGGTTCTTCACTATATAAACCTCACTTTGTCTTCATCCTTCTTCACAAAATCACACACATTCTCTTTCTCTCTGCATCATAATCTCAGCTTCTGCACACAGATATGGCACTTCCATTCTCCTTTACATTTCTCCTCCTACTTCTGGCTCCTTCCTTCATTTTCTCTTCCCCACTGCAAGATCCAGAACTAGTAGTCGAACAAGTACACAAGTATGTCTCGGAATCATGACACACCCACCATTTCATTTTCTGATATTCTTCATATCAGTAACTTATAACCTCTGTTTCAATTGTTATTGCAGGAGCATCAATGCGTCGAGAAGAAACCTGGGGTTTCTTACTTGCGGAACCGGGAATCCCGTTGATGATTGTTGGAGGTGTGACCCCAAATGGGAGAAGAACAGAAAGCGTCTGGCGGATTGCGGCATTGGGTTCGGCAAGAACGCCATCGGAGGCAGAGACGGCGGATACTACGTCGTCACCGACCCCGGCGACCACCCAGTGAATCCCAAGCCAGGAACCCTCAGATACGGCGTCATACAGAAGGAGCCACTGTGGATCATCTTCAACAAAGACATGGTCATCAAGCTCAAAGAAGAACTGATCATGAACTCCTTCAAGACCATCAATGGCAGAGGAGCCAATGTTCACATCGCAGGGGGTCCTTGCATCACTATCCAGTTCGTTACCAACGTCATTATCCACGGAATCAACATTCACGACTGTAAACGAGCAGGTAACGCCTACGTGCGAGATTCTCCGACACATTACGGGTGGAGAACGGTGTCGGACGGCGACGGAGTCTCCATTTTCGGAGGAAGCCACATCTGGGTGGACCACTGTTCTCTCTGGAATTGCGAAGATGGACTGATCGATGCGGTTCAAGGATCGACGGCAATCACAATCTCAAACAATTACATGACTCGCCACGACAAGGTGATGCTTCTGGGTCACAGTGACAGTTACACGCAGGACAAGAACATGCAGGTCACCATAGCCTTCAACCATTTCGGCAAAGGCTTGGTCCAGAGAATGCCAAGGTAACAACTTGAGCAAACCTTTTTCCGACAGAAATCGAGCAACGTTGCTGAATCAATTTCAATTGATTAATGAACCCAAGTTTCTGTGTATCATTTGCAGATGCAGACATGGCTACTTCCACGTGGTAAACAATGACTACACTCAGTGGGGCATGTATGCGATAGGAGGGAGTGCGAATCCAACTATATACAGTCAAGGAAACAGATTTCTCGCTTCTAATGACGGAAACTTAAAAGAGGTGACCAAGAGGGAGAATTCGCCGGAGAGTGAATGGAAGAACTGGAACTGGAGGTCGTCGGGGGATCTGATGGTAAACGGTGCGTTTTTCACGCCGTCAGGGAAGGAAGCATCTTCAAGCTATGCTCGAGCTTCAAGTCTGTCTGCAAAATCGTCTTCTTTGGTTAGTTCTATAACAGTGTCGGCTGGAGCACTTAAATGCACAAAGGGCTCTCGTTGCTGAATCAAATCAGTTTTGGTTTCTCTTTAGGATTTATACTCTGCATTTTAATGCAGCGAGGGCCAAGACCAATGAGACCCATATGATCTGATCTTTCTTCTGTATATACTTTTTTTTTTTTTGAGTAAAACTTCTGTATATACTTTTTATTTACCCTTTGTAAGTATTGTCTTTTATGACTGCAACCTTAGCTGGTGACGATTGTGGTTACGCAAGCATAAGAGTTGATGATGTTCATCTTTATGTTCAACGACAAGCTCAAAAGAAATGGGTATATCATTTTCATCTTTTTCTTCTAGGTGATGTCATTCTAATCTTCTATTGAAATGAAATATGCTTTTCTTTGTTTTTGTTTTTAATGAATTTAAGGCATATATAAGTGCCTGTTGTGTAAGTTCTGTTACGCGGCTTATCATAATAACGAATGAGTGGCATGTCATTTCATTTCAATATTAGTCTTCCATTTCACTCTCTCTTGGCCTTATTTTGAACCATTTGTTATTCAACTTGATAATGAAAGGAAAAAGTATTAGGAGTGCAAGCAGTATATCATTATACAAAACTGAAAAACGGCCACCCAAAAAAGGCCCATTATTAGTAAGCTTATAAAATGATGAAACAAAACTGAAAAATGGCCTCAAGTTCGAACCTCAGCGTATGCAGAAATCTCCGTTGGGAGACTCACCCACCACAGCCAGGTGTGCGACGCGGGTCGGATCCAGATGTAATCGGAGTAAAATTTTGGTGAACTAGGTGGGCAACCAAAAAAAAAACTGAAAGATGGCCAACCGAAAAAGGCACATCTCCAGAGTCGTGGGATTGCAAGCCGTATGTCATTATACTGAACCCACAAGGTATATAAGTACTCCATCCAATCCTAGATATAAAATTTATTTTGTAGTATAAATTATACTATAAAATGAATTTTATATTTAGCACTATAGGAGTATTATTAGTATTACATTAGATACTTAATATGAAAGTTAATTGGAAGATTTTGAGTCTTAAATATAAGATCTTTTTCAGACAATGGGTTTGGATCTGTTCTTGATGGGTAGGATTGTTTGATCCAACAATAAAGAATCTTTTTTATCAAGGAAATCATTCTCCATTATGAGGAACTGAATGATTAGAAAATCAATCAAGCATTAATTGTTGATTATAAATTAAAAGCAATCAAAATAGTATCTTGTGATAAATAAGTTAGATTGCACCTTCTTAAATTATGGTCACTTTTACCTTATAAATAGGAGGTACCCTTTCCCTTTTCTCTTCGCCATAGCCATTTGATTTTTCTACCTATCTCTTTCTCTCTCTTTCTATTCTCTCTTGTGTGATGTTTTATTATATCACTCAAGTTTAGGTTTTAGTAGTCTAAACTTTGCATGAGCACCAGTAGATCAACTTATAGAACTCTAGAGGAATGATCCAGATCTGACCCAATATGCACTTCCTTTTATATTTATATTCCATCAACATCAATTTACATTGTCTCCTATTTTCATCAAAATATCCTTATTAATTATAAGATATTTTTTCTTAATAAGTATTTTATTACACATGATTAAAGGGAAAAATTTAGAAAAGGCCAATACAAATTTAATACAAATAATTAACTTAACTAATTTTTTTAATATATTCAAATTAGTTTTTTAATTCTTATATTATGGATCGAAAGTAGTATTTAACATATGGTAAGAGCTCAATAGGTTCATAAACATCGTCAACAGTGGCGGTTTGGTGATCGGAGAGGACATTGAAACGTTTTTGTGGATTGAGATAGCCAGTGATGTTGGCCATGTCATCTCCCTTGTTATATGCCAACTATGCTTATTTTAATTAAATCTCATCAGCAATTTAACAATTAAATTTAAAGACCTATAATTGTTGGAGGAGATATTGATATTCTTTCATTTTTAAAGAATTAGTTGTTAAATCGTATCATAAATAATTTTATAACATTAAACCAATAAAAAAATAATTTTAAAGTATTAACTGTACTTTAATTTATTAAAATATTAATGCTCTTTTGGAAGGAAGGAGTTCGAATCCTAGCTCAGCTAAGCAGGATTTTATTTTCGTTTCAGTATGAAATTACTAAGCTGCCCTTCAGTTTTGAAACGGGAAATAAATAAATAAAATAAAAATAGGATCAGATTTTTCCCCCAGCTTGCTAGAAAGAAGCAAAGGCAAAACGTTTCGGGAATTTGGGGATCATTGAAAGTTGGAACTTTGAAACTCCAATTTCGTTGCTCCTCCCACGGATCATCCTCCATCATCTGTGTTGTCGTCGCCGGTGGCTGTGCGTTGTCACCATCCGTCCGTCTACAGTTGCTGGCGTGTAAGTCGTGGGTTCACGGGTTTTCGATTTCCTTGTTCTTCTTCGCCGTTCTCTCTTTCTCTCGACTATATTCAGGTCCTGGTAGTTTGGGAAGGCTGATGTTTTATTTATCCCTTCTTCCTCCGTCATCATCGCTGCTTGTGAAGCTTTGGGTAAGCTCAAACTCATCTCTATTCCTAAACTCGTATAACAGTGTGTATGAGAGGAATCTTCTATGCATCTTTCCTTTCCAGTTTCGTTGCTGCTTCTATGTGGGGTTGAGATAGTCTGCTTCTTTTGTGTGGCTGTGTGTATGCGCTGAACTTTGATCCTTTTTTTTTTTTTAATTGTGGCTGTTTGTGGTGTGCGAGGAATGACGGAAGATTAAATGACCTTGATGAAATTGTGTGAATGTGGATGCTGGAAAATTCGTGGTTCTGCTTGTGAAATAAGATGCTTACTTATTGAGTTAGTTTGAATGGCTATGAAGTGTTTGATGAATTGTGTGACAGAAGAATGAGATTTGAGGCTTTTGTTCAGTCAAGGCATGAGGGAGGGAAGCTTGTTGGATGTGCGTTTTATTAAAAATTTGATGAGTTGCAAGAGAAGAAGCTATAATGCAAATGACGTTAAGAATGTAACTTATGTAACTTTGTGATTTAGCAAGGTGTTTGAAGTTGCTTGGTTAATACTCCTCCGATTCTCAATTAGAACCTAATTAGAGAGTCGATGTTGGTTCTATATGTAAAACTTAGTCATTTTTTTCCAAATTAACCTTATTGATATTTTCCTAACAATAATTAAGTAGGACGGGGAGGGAGGGAAGGAAGGAACTAAGAAAGATGTTTAAGGGATTATAAAAAAAAACACACCATATTAACTAATTTAAGTATTTAACTAGCATGCTTAATCTAGTCAAATTAGTTAATTAGGTATTATATTAAAGACTGAAGGTGTAATATAATATAATGAAATAGTGATGGTGTTGTGACTTGATTAAGGAAACTCGGAGAACCTATTTTGTCGCTGGAAAAGCCATCATAGATGTTTTATGAGTGCGGTATAGTTCACAATTTACAGTTGATTAAGCATAATAGACTCAAAGGAGGTAAGAATGATTTGTTCTTATACTCCTCCAGTCCTTAATATAAGACCTATTTATAAGAAATATGATATGTTTTTCCTAAAACACTATAATCATTTTCCTTAATATCCTCTCTTTTTTTTTTACTTGATTGTGATTAAAGTATATCCATATAGGTAATTTAAGAAAAACTGATAAATATGAGAAATAGGTGTTATATTTAGAAGCAAAATCAACTCAACAATTAGGTCCTATATTAAGGACTGGAGGAGTATATTGAACCTTGGTAAAGAATTGAATATGGGAAGTATGGCAATTACACACACACACACGGGATTGGGAATTGTTCGGCAAGAGAGTTCAAGGGTGAAAAGTTTGATAATATTGTTTGAATGGCTTGCTGGCAAAGTCTTTGTAAAATGGTGTAGATAAGAGGAAATTAATTAAAGTGAGATTGGTCAAGTTCATGAATAGATTTTTGGAATGAAATGCTTGAAGGAAAGGAAAAATGGGAGCTGTTCTTCCAAACTTAAGAAATTAGGGTTAATAGTTAAGTGTGATAAAAAATCAATTATTATCTGAACTTGTAATTATCTGATTTATTTCTGCTTTTTCATGCTTCTGTATAAATCTTTTAGACATGTTATGTGATGATGTCCTCTCCTATATATAGCTGTAAACCTTTTGTGTGATGGTCCTCTTCCATCGCTTAGAAAAGTGAATTTATGCATTTGCAGTTGCTGTTGATTCATTTATAGCATTAAAAAACATCATCCTCACGATCACCCACAAATAAGCTGACAGGTAGATTAAGAGCCTATGTATGAATTGAAGTTCTCCTCAGTTTGAGTGTTGAGGTTGCTATGGAGTCAGTGTTCACGGCAGATTCCCCTTCTTATTGGGATTTCATTGTTGTCCTCCTTCTCCGCCCTCTCCTTGCCTTTGGATTTGTTCTCTTCTTAATTTCTCTGGGTAATTTCTCTCTTTCTGATTTCTTTTCTACTAGGCTGGATTTGCTCTAATTGTTATTTGAAAGTTTAAATTGATTAATCCTTCTGTGATTTGGATTGTTGCAGGCTGGTTGCTGGCATGGAAATTAGTCCTGGTACACGTTCCTTTGGTGCAAGAGATTTTTGGTCTCAGGAAAAAACCTGTCAAATCTAAACCACCAACTCGTCGTCTATCTAAATTTTATAGTACCATTAATGCTCAAAAGTCTCAATAGCTTCGGCATGGTAATTTTCCTTTTCTCTTTTCTGTTTTCCTCCACCATTAGATTTGCTTACCCACTTGTTACTCATAGATGCTATTGTATTTTTCAGTTGATTAGTGAACCTGACAATTATTTTGTGTACAGTGTGGTCCCTCTTCTAGAGTCTATTTATGATTTTCATTTTCCAGCCCCCCCCCCCCCAAATACCTTGGTTCCTTGGTTAAGAGGATCAGACAGAGCCAAAGAGTTCTACTGGTTTTTGGCTTGTGCTAAGGGACTTGAAATGGATCTAGTGCTCGTTTTGTAGTCTATATTGTGATTGGGGCATCCAACTATTAACATTAATGATCCCCATCAAGATGAATTCTTAGCAATATTTCTATTATGAGATGTCACCAAGACATAAATATCCAGTTCACAAAGGTTTTGGGTGATAATATTGTTAAACTTGGTGTTCTTGTGAGGCACATGATTATAAATATAGCCAATGCCCACTGTTATTAGGACCCAAAGCTGAGACATTATTGTTAGGTGGTTGTTCTTTAATTCCTGTGTAAGGGCAAAACATAAGATGAGGGGCTAACTGTCTTCAAAATTCCAATGTATCATTAAAAAAAAAAAAAAAAATTCCAATGTACTTGCCTTAAAAGGATACCAGGATGGTTTGACTTGGTTTTTTGGCTGGATGGTGTCTTGTGTTCTGTGGTTATACGTTTAGCGTTTTGGCCAGCTGATCCTTTACCGTATGAAGTGTTTCTTTTCAGGAGAAAAGTAGGGGGTAGATTTTAGCCATTCTTGGCCTGTGAATCTCATTTCCCCTCGTTCCCAACCATCTGTTTTGGGATGTGATTCAAGTTCTAATGCATTAGTTACTTTGAATGTGATGGTTGGCTGGACCCAAGTTGGGCTTGGACTGGAGTTCATTTTTTATAAAGCCGGGCCTAATTAAGTTTTAGCTGGGCTAAAATACAGTTAAATTAATATGCTACGATGACATCAATTCCAGTGAAATATGTTATCCAATAAAATATGATCTCTTATAAGGGGTAGTGAATGTCATGAAAGAAAAGCTTGCATTGGTCATGTAAAAGCTGTCATTGGAGATTTTGAAGAAGACGATCGATCTTATGATCGGACCAAGTGAGAAACAATATGAACAGAGCGCATATAGTAACAATAACATCAACATATAAAAAATTTATTTATAAACGGATCATATGAATATTGAATAATGTGTTGTAGTTGGGACTAAATAGTTACAATAAAACATGTCAACAACACCTGAGGGGGGTTCGGATCTTGCTCCGTATGTAATAATAATGAGATGTAAATGTTGAGGCACAATCCATGATAATAGAAGTTGATGACAATGTACATGTTTTGTGTTCATCGACAAACCCAAAAGAAGTTGATGGGTATCTATCTCATTTTAATTTTTAATTCAATTGAATTATGTTTTTACAATGAATTTAATTAAAGGGAAAAAAGTATTACATATTATTATAAGCTTATAAAATGATATGAAACTAAACTTAAAAATGGCCAATCAAACATCCACTTTGATAGAACCAGGTTGTGGGGAATGCATGGCCAAATCAGCAGCTGCTAACTCCCACTTTGTCCAGGACGCCTTGCATGCATGTACGTAGACGTCTGTATCAGTAGACAAGGTCCATAGTATATAAATAAGTATTATTAGTATTTTAACATGTGATGATCCTCAATAAAAGAAATGTATTGTAGGGAATGGTTCTCTAAAGAGTAAAAAGAAGGAGAGGAGAAGGAGAAGAAAGTTGAACATGATGTGGTCAAGTTATGGCAATACTTTTAAAGTTTAAGTTGCCCCAATCTATTTCAATCTTAAGGTATAAAGTGGATTTAACGGCAAATTTCTTTCGGTGCACAATGAAGGCATTTGAGTATAATTCACTATCAAAACTCAAGCCAAGGCAATAATGATTTTTACAAAATAATAATTTGATTTTATCTGTGTGCGCACTCAAAGACAGAGAAACACAATGAGTGTGTTTGTTGTGTGTTGTATGATTTCTGATGATGTCTCTGTCATTAAAGCACTCAATTAAACTAGGTCCCAACTAATTTGTAGTTTAGGGTCGACCTAGGTCATTACTTCCAAGGAGCAAGTTATAGGTTTCTTTAGGTAAAAATTCAGGTGATAAAAAAATACAATAAATTGGACCTAAACTAAAATGCAAAATTCTAATTCTAAATGGAAAATGCAAATATCCTAAAATCTATATGAAAATTAAATTAAACTAAATAAATGCAATGCAATTTTTGGGGGGTTTTTTGAAAGAAAATAAAAATAATGAATAAAGAAAATTAATCAGAAAGCAAAGAGAGTTAACAAGTAAAAATGGAGAAGTTCTTTTCAAGTAAGGTAGAGGGGACAACTCAGGATTCGCATGAATTTAACCTTCATAACCTTAATCAATTAATTAGACCAAAGGGAGGTGATAAGAGAGTGGAATTAATAAACTTAATTACCTACTTGAAACAAAGGGAACCCTCAATTTCAAAAGCCCTTAAACTATTAGAGAACTCATAACAGTATAAGGTTGGTTAATTAAACTTATTAAAACCAATGAAAAATAACCCAATTAATTCTGGAAATTATGTTTGAAATTATCCAATTAAACAATCAGATAACCAACCAACTTAATTAAACAATTAAGAGGTGAAAGAACCCAAATTTTGCAATTGAAACCACATTGATAATTAAACTCATAATGAAAACTCAATTATAAATTCAATTAACAATGCAAAGGTTCTAAACATAAATTCCAACAAGTGTCTCAACACAAATAAAATCCAAATATCAATCCAATCTAAGCATAAAGATGACAATCTAGAACTAAATTGTCTCAACAAAAATACAACTTAAAATTATTTAAAACTAAATAATTTCAAGTCCTTGAATTAAAAAGATAAATGGAACATCACTCCCTTGTGGTCTTCAAATGCTAGCCCAAGGCTCTAGTCTTTTCCATGCTCCTTCCAAGTTGCCTCCCTGTAAGCTTAAGCTTCCATGGTAATATCTCCTCCCTCCATGCTATTAGGAATCATGGCCACCATAGTTAACGGAGAATGGAGAATAAAGATAGGTGTATGTGGCACGTGGAATGGAGATGTTGATGATGATGTTGACTAGATGGCTCTTGTGCGTGGGACAAGGAGGTGGTATATGGTGGATATATGGGATAATATTCAAAGGAGAGGACTCTCGTTTTAATGTCCGTGCGTCTCCATATAGATGGAAAAGAGTGGTCTTAAACGTGCTAGAGGGATTATTTTAGGAGAGAAAAGGAAAATTTCTTAGATATAAAACTCAAGCCCATTAATAATCAATTGACCCACTAAATATTAGCCATTGGATTGTGCTTAAATTCCAAGAAACAATCTTGTACCATTAGATTTCTCATATACTCTTTCTTGACCTACAAGAATTTAAGTGCATCCATTAATGTAGATTATATCCAAATATAATCAAAAATTAAATGTCACATATGCACAAAAATTAGGCAAGAAAGTGCAAAACTTTCTAAAAATAGTCTTTCTAAAAATATGAAACTTGTTTCCAAAAAATTAGAAAAAATTAATTCCAAGTCAAAAATAGGAAAGCACAAAATATTCATATTTTCAATCCAAAATCTCAATTTTTATGCAAAATCCAAAAATCAACCAATTTATTCAATAATGCATAAAAAGTCTAATTAAGCTCAAAATTATCATTTAAATCCTGAATTATTGTGGGATAAAATATATAAAAATTAGACTTTATCAATTTCCAAATGAAATGACGGTGAAAGATATATATGAACCATGAAATAATGTCCTGAAGAAGTCGTCTTAAATCAATGCACCTCTTCAATTAAAAGTCACAATCATATGTTGCTTCATAAGCCAACATATCTTCAAGAGACAAGTTATATTACTTTTGATCCTTAATATAAAAGCTAGTTGACTAATTTGAGTAGATTAAAAAAATTAATTAAGTTAATTATTTGTAATAAATAGGTGTTTTTTTTAAAACATCCTTACTAATCAAGTATTTTAGCTAGAACTATTATTTAATAAAACATTTAACATATGCAATTATGACAAGGATTATCTTGAAAAATAGATAAATATGAAAGATAAAGTGGATTGTTATTTTATATTTGGGATCAAATTAAAAGTTAAATTAACTCATATTAAGGGCTAGAGGTAGTGTAAAATAACTTTTTCATGAAAAGTCACATCATTTTACTATATAGGTTTTCTTTAAAACAATATAGCTTTTCATCAAGTGGACAACACATTAGGATATGACATTTTGGGGATGTTTGGCAAACAATGAAAAAGCACGTTTAGACCCCAAACCATGGTTTGAGTCCAAAACTATCTAAACACTCCAATTTTTTGAAAAACCATGGTTTTGAAAAAAGCAAAAAAAATTTCGCTTCTGAGATAAAAACTAGTCCTAGGATAATTATTAAAAATATGTTTGGATTGGCGGTAACAAAACTGATTTTTATTCTAATTGACTTTTGTAAATTAAAGTTAGAATAAAAGTTAGTTAGTGTATGTGATTTATGTTTGGATTGGTGCTTATAAAAAGTCAGTTGGAAAAGCTAAAACTTGTTTGAATGATTAATAAAAAAGTAAGTTTATTTGTAAAATAACTAAAAAAGGTATGGACTTTATTGAATAATAGTATTTGATATTATATGTTTTTAATATAATAATAGTTAAAAAATACATAAAATTATTATGATAAAATAAAAATAGTTTATTTGTGAAATTATAAAATAAAAATATTTGTTACAGAGAAAAATTTGAAAACACATTGTAGATAATTAATTAAATATATAAAATGGACAAACATGAATATAAATTAAAATTTATTTGGTCTGTAATTAAAGTAAATGAAATCACATGACTAATTAGATTGTAAGCTTTGCATAATTTGGTCTCTAATTGAGTCACGAACACGATTCATTTGTGTGGTAGATGTTAAACTTGATGAGGATGCCTCTCTAGCTGCATAATTATTGTCTTCATCTATTACACTTCCATGTTTAGTTTGTATAAAGTAGTCATCAATTGGAGAATTTTGCCTGATAAAATTATGTACAGCTATTGTTGCATAATCTATGCAGACTTGTGTTTGAAACTTGAATTTGGGCATATCTCTTAAGATTGCAAACCTATTTTTCCAAACCCCAAAAGTTCTTTCAATAGTGCATCTCAAACTTGAATGATAATAATTGAAGGCCTCATTCTCATTTCTCAATCCTGGTTGACGATTAAAGTCTAGAAGGTGATAGTGCTCACATCTGTACAAGCTAAGATATCCCACTTGTATTAGATAACCAGTATTAGCCAAATAATATTTGCCTAGGAAGTCATGACTCAATTATGCTGAGATGAAAATAATGCAATTGAAGCTAAATTTTAAAATAATTGATTTTAAATTTATAGAAATATACCTTCAGATGGATGAGGAAAATTCATGGATGGATTGAGATAGCAGAATGAAACACAAGAGCATCATGTGTACTACCTTCCTAGCTGCCAACACGAAAGTGAAGCACATATCCCAATCACATATGACCATGACATTTTGACTAGGAAATCCCTTCCTCCCAATATATTTTTCTTGCCTCGCTCGACTAACCTTACAATTTATGTGGGTACCATCAATTGCTCCGATTGCATCCTTAAAAAATAGGAAGTATCGTGGATCATTTGCTATTTTTGGATGACAATAAGAAAACGTAGGATCAGTTGGCTTGATATTTTCTCGAGATAAATTGAGGCAAGCATCCAACACTCTATGAAAATGCCAAATGAGAGTTTCTCCTGAACACTGAAACCTTTCTTGAATCATCCTATTACATTGGTCATGCACAATTGTATTCAAGAACATGACAACAAATTCATGGACACCTATGTACTTAGAATTTTGTAACCCATGTTCAACCAATTTAGAGCATAACCGATGGAATGTCTCTATTTCCATTCAAAACATATACTTAGACCGTGCTTCATGCTCGTGTAAAAGTTCTTGTACCCATAAATAACCCACTTGTTTACTAGTTCTGTATGGTTGTTTGCATAGAAAATATGTCACATACTGACTCGTTAATACACTTAGCTCTAATAATTGTGTTGTGTATTCATGTAAAGGGGGAAGTAATTAAGACCGTTCATCTCCCCAACCCTCGTCCCAACCCTCGCCCCAACCCTTCGTTGAATCAGACATGGATTATGTAACCTATGAGTAGTTAAATACTAAATGAGAGTAATATTTTCACAAAGAAAGAAAAAAAAAAAGATAAGATAATACACAAATAGTCATCAAAATTTAACATAGTAACATTCATTAAACACACATAATCATTAAACACATAGTCACGAAATACATTAAGCTAGAAAAACATAAGTCATAATAAGTCACACGACACAACTCAAGGATTCTTAGGTTTCACATATGGTAGCAGGTTTTTAGCATTGTATTTCAACGAAGCTATTAATACCTCCTGATTTCCTCTCAAGCTGGCATATATGTCCTTGAAAGCCTTATTTGCCAGAAGATTACAACAAAGGATACAAAGATGAGTGTCACTGGCAATTTCCTCGGTACTCAGCAGATCAGTGGTAAGCTCAGTAGTTATATCACTATTGGACATTTTGATTACTGCCTCTGTTGTATCCTTTAAAGCAGTAGCAATCAAACTGACTGCATCTACTATTCTTTTTGTCACTGGCATATTTTTCTTGTACTTATCCAACCCTTCACCTCTCTTTCTCTTCCCTTGACTTCCTAAACCACTAGGTACAGTAGGTGCAGTGTTCGATGTGTTTGCAGTTAAATTGATGCCATTCAAATCATCTGAAACTCCTACACAGCGTCTAGTGTCACACTTCCCCATGTGCTTTTACCATCACAAACAGCAATCCAATCACTGTTTAAGATTGTTAGAAGGCTTGAAACTCTAGAGTGGTCAAACCGTCAGACCTCAAGTCAAATGGGGTCGCTAACACATGGACAAATAATGAGGGAGTGTGGAAGAATATTTCCAACTTTCAAAACTAGATAATCATTATATCAGCATTTCATTTTTATAATTTTTGAGATAAAATAATATTTTTTGTTGGAAAAAAAATTCATTTTTCTAAAAACATATTTATTCTTATATTTTATAAGTATATATACACATACTAACAATTAATTAATTATACTTTTTATATATCACTTATTTTGTTGGTAAAAAAAAATTACTTGCAAATTTATTATTTCAAATGAAAATCTAAATTAAAATATATCTTTTATGTAATTATAATATTAATTTATGTACTTTTTGGTAATTTGAATCTAAAAAAAGTATTTTTGATAACAATTATCCAAACACTGTCATTTCATGAAAATCACTTTTTTCCCAAAAGCCATTCTTTCAAAATCTATTCTCAAAATCAATTTTTTTACTAAAAGAATGTTTGGATGGAAGTCAAATCATGGTTTTAAAAGTACTTTTACGGTATACGAAATAAATATGTGGATGAGCCTGTCTCATTTTGTGGAAAAGTGATTTTCAGAAGTACTTTTCCATCTTGCCAAATACTCTCTAAAAGCTATTCTCTAAATTATAGTTTGGATTTATTAAAACACCTCCAAACATAGATTGTCTTTGGGAATCAATGACTTTGGTGACTTTTAGGGAGTGTTTGACAAAAAAAAAAAAATTTCGTAAAATGAGACAAAATTCTTCACGTATTTATTTCATATACCATAAAAACACTTTTAAAACCATGATTTGGTTTCTCTTCAAACACCCATTTAGTGTTGTAACTTCTTACATAGTTCTTCACATAAATTGTAATTTGTAAGAATATATTTTAAAAAAAAACATATAACTTATTTTGCAAATATTTAACAAAATGTGCTAGATTAGAATGCAAGTGTTCATGGCGGAAAAAAAAAAAAAAGAAGTAAGGTAAGTGTAGCAATATCTTCTGCTAAATTTTTTATTAGTAACTGCAATTATGAAAATATATCCAAACCATTAACATCAACGTCTTCAATAAAACTTAACAAACTTGTCAAGATTGATACAAAACATCTTAATTATAAGGGAAAATTAATTTTAATCCAAAGTTTTAAATGCTTCAGATTAAAGTAAAAAACCAAAAAAAATGTACGTTCATGTTCTAAAAATTGTTCAAATTGACCTTATATTCCTCCGGTCCTTGATATAAAACCTATTTAACTAATTTGATTAGATTAAAGAAGTTAGGTAAGTTAATTAATTATAAGAAATGTGACATATTTTTCCTAAAATACCATAATCATCTTTCTTAATACCCTTCTTCCTTTTCTACTTGATTATGATTGAGGGAGTATCCATAGGGGTAATTTAGAAAAAATTGATAAATATGAAAAATAGGTCTTATATTTAGGACCAAAACCAACTTAATAATTGGGTCTCATCTTAAGGACCGGAAGAGTACTTTCAAATAAAACCTCATGGTTGAACACTTACGAGAGCAGAGTGTTACATTTTCTTTATCCTCCTACAATCCACCGAGCCAATGACATAAAAAAGGGAAAAATGACTCGGCAAGAAAATTGAAACTACTAAACACTTAAAAGGACGCTTAAGAATCAGTAATTAAAGAAAAATGACATAAATACCCTTTTGACAACAAGCATGCTATTGGAAATACGTAGTTTCTACACTTATATTGATATTAACAATTTTGAAATGCATTTTACTAATTTAATAATAAAATTTACCTTTACTTTTAGGAATTGCGTAATTCTAAACTTGAAGTCCTAATAACAATTTGACAATTCGTTTTATCAATTTTAGAATAAAGATTAACAAGTACCATTTTTTTATCCACAAAACACTTGACAAAATTCCTAAACAAAAGTTATCTCCTTTCATCAATTGCTTTATTAGAAAATGCGACTTTTGATCTATATTTCAAAATTGGTAAAATGAATTGTCAAATTGTTATTACGAGTATCAGACATCTCTGGTTCTATTTTATAGGGTAAAAAAGGAAGATATTTTTTTATCCTATTTACAGGGTACTAAGAAATTTTTTTTTTGCATGGATGTATAATTTTACCCTTCATTTATTATTGTGTTGATTTTATTTATATGAGGTACAAAGTAGATTAAACAGGAATAAAGTTGAAAAGCTGTTTAATTTTAAATAAAAGTTAATGAAATTTAAGATTTTTCTTATGAACTTTAAAATTTTTCTTGATCTATGTGAAACATGCTGGAAGTGACTTATAAATAAAACTATAGGAGTATGTATTTTCAATAGCATGCTTGTTGTCAGGAGGGCATTTAAGTCATTTGCTTCAATTTCATAATACACAACGTTTTTTTTTTTTTTTGAGCTGAACATAATACACAACGTTTAAGTTGTCCTTCCCTTTACGTCATTACAACACTCTTAGGTATTTATTTTAGTATTTAGTATTTTCAAGCTTCTTTTTTTTTTTTGGTATCATTCTCATAAAAAACGACATTAATATTAGGAGCCAATTTGGCCTGCTCATTAATTCACATATTTGTCTATAATTACATTATAATGTGCCTACTGCCTAGCTTTAAAATGCTTCACATGCTCAATGAGATTTAGTTTATTAATGCTTGAATAAAGGTGATGCCTATGGCAATCAAATCAATAAGCTTTTCCTTCACAATGATGATGATATGCTAATAATGATTATTGTTTTGTACCAAACGTGATCTTAAAACCCACTTGAAAGGAAAATGAGCAGGTATTGAATAATTGCATGTGCTTATTAATACTACAAATTGGCATTCAATCTCCACGTTCTTCCTTTAATTTGGCCTATTCATCAACAACACCACGGGCATGCAATATATTATATTTCAAAATATTGCATTTTGATTCACGTACACACACACTATAATTTCTCTAGCGGATAACACGGGCTTCCCCTGTGGAGCTTGACGGTGGATTAATAGACGAAATTTTGATTCAACTATTAATCAATAAATTAAAATTGATTAATATATTCTTTTAAAGAAATGACAGGAAAAATGTCAACATAAAATTATTGATCTTTTTATTCAAAATACATTCCCCCCTTTTTTTTCCAACGAAAATAAAACCGAAAATGTCAGCAACATTCCACGTCATCACATTTAAGTTCCCATCACGCAGTTGGCCGTTACTGTCGTCTAACCACATTAATATGCTGCAATCCCCCCCCCCAAAAAAAACATCTATGTTTTGCTATTTGTCACTACCCCATGTATTTAGTATAAGAATTAGATAGTTAATTTAGGAAGATTAAGAAATTAGTTGAGTTAGTTATTTGTAATAAATGTGTGTTGATTTATCTAGCATTGTCTCTTGGTGGGAATTCCTTACAATTAATAGAGATATTTTAGATGAAAAATTATAAATTTGATAGATAAAATAGATTAAGATCTTATATTTATATTCAAATTCAATCCCACACTAATCTTTACATTAAGGACCGGAGGTAGTAGAAGATCTATTATGTAGTGCAAAGTTCACTACAAAATAAATCTTGTATTTAAGATTAGATGTAGTATTACATATTACTTCCTCCGTTGTTTCTATAAGAAAAAATCTCTTTCACAATAGTGTTCTAAATATAAAAAATAAATCATTTTTCTCTAAAATTTAAATTAGTCTTTCATTTTTTTCTCTATTAAATATATGTCATTTATTATCTCTTATATACTCTCTTCATATATAAATAATGGTATAATTGAAAACATATGCCACTCTGGTTTTTTTTTATTTGTCACTTAGGAGTTTCTCACATTAAAAAAAAGTATTAAATAGATGAAATCTTTTACTTTTGTTCTTATTAAGTAGGAGTATATTTTCTCTCATTCATTCCATATCTCTTTACCTTTATAATTAATATGGACAAAATTGAAAATAGCATTAAAAAGGGTGCAAGTGATAAATAAAAAAGACCAAATTCTTTTACTACGAGTGACGAATAATTAAAAACTATAACGGTATATTACACATTTATTAGTTTTAATTAAATTTAACTAATATTTTGAACCGCATATTTCAATAGTTGTTTCTTATACAAAGGAGTTATACTATCACTTCTTTCACTTTCTTTTTCCATATTTTTTAATTAACGTAGAAAGTGGCTTATAATTATTGCAATTACACTATAGGTTATTTTGTTTGTTGGCAATCAATTGATGCAAGAGTAGATGATGGATTTCAGTTGTCGCCTGTGAGACACGATAGAGGAGTCTCAGACTTGATACAAAAATAGGAGCAACATCAACCATCTGAATTTGCCGCTTTCTCAATCCTACAAATATGAAAGCTAAGGAAGATGAAAAATAAATACCCTTGGGTGGTGAAGGAATGGTCCCTTATTATTGTTATTATTATTGTTATCTTGTAGTACAAACTTCTTTCAACCGTCATAACGGTGTATAGTTGATTTTTTTTTAAATAATTTATTTTAGGTTATTTTTAGGATAAGGAATAAAATTTGGGTAAAATTACTTACAACCATTATGTTAAGTTTTTCGATAATATTTTCTCATTATTACATCATCATTTAATAACAATACTATATGGTGTTTGATATTATAAGTTATTTGTAACTTGTTTTCACATATCAAGGAATGATAGTTAAGTTATTAGATATGTCTTGAATTGATAACATTATTCAAATTCATCCTCATTAATTTTTTTTATAGTTATAAATCATTTTCATATCATTTTCTTCTTTTTTTAAAAAAAATTAAATAAGAATAAAATTAGAAAACTGTGATTAATAATTTTCAAGTGACTTATACTTGGGATGAAACTTTTCTCCTATGAATAACTTATCTTCGAGTGATACTTGTATGAATTTCAAACAAGCCCGCATTTTTTTCCTGCTTTGGGTTTTTCATCTTTGGGTCACGAACACTTACTTTGCATTATGTTTGCTTGTTTCTTGAAGAAAGATAAAGAAGCCCCAAAGGGATAAACCTTAACAAAGGGGAAGAAGAACCAAAGCAACCTAGTTTATCTTGCTTGGTGGTAACTTCAACTCAATCCCATACATCGTACAGTTATGAGTTTAATATAGCTACACATACGCACAGCATTTAAGTTTAATTCAAGTTACTATTAATTCATTAAATATTTTCAAAATCCCTCAATAACTACTCAGTCATGTAGTTTTAAAGAGTCAATCAAATTAGACAAGTCAAATGTCTATTCTTTAAAAATCAAACATCTTCTAAGTGCATTTCTAGTACATAATATAGGTCTATGTAGTCTGGGCAACAAGTCTCTATACTTCTCTTCTTTTTCATTTTCATGTACTTCCTATCTCAACTATTAAGATTAAAAGTTTAATGATTCAGATTCCATGTTTTTGAAAAAAATTTTATAAAGTATTTTTTATTGTTTTGAATTATACCAACCAAAATTTAGTAGTTTTATTTGATTTTATTTATTTATTTTTAATATTTTAATATTTTATTCACAATTTTATAAATATAAAATCTGAACCGTTCAAATCTCAATTTTATGACTAACATGGAAAGTAAATGAAAATAGAAGGAAAAAAAAGTAGAGACATCTGTTGCCCACACAACGTAATCATACTCCCAACTATTTTGCATTTATCATAGCTAAAATATCAAAGCTAGCCCAATAATAGAAAGCAAATTGAAACGTTGTACAAAATTAAAAGACCAAATATATGCTTTTTAAAATTAAAAGATCAACTTAAAATCTTATACAAAATTAAAGTATCAAATATATAGTTTAGTGAAATATAAATAATGCTTTATCCAATCCCACCAATATTTTATCATTGGGCTAGCTTTGGTTTTTCGCTATATATAAACCTCACATTGTCTTCATCATTCTTCACAAAATCACAAGCATTCTCTCTCTCTCTGCGCATCATAATCTCAGCTTCTGCACACACATGGCAATTCCGTTCTCATTCACATTTCTCCTCCTCCTCGTCGTTGTTCCTTCCTTCATTTTCTCTTCCACGCTTCAAGATCCAAACTTGGTAGTCGAAGAAGTATACATGTATGATTCACAGTCATCACTGCCTCACAGTTTAACTTTCTGATATTCATCGTATTTTCACCGTAAATCTCTGTTTCATAACCCTGTTTCTGTTACAGGAGCATCAATGAGTCGAGAAGAAACCTGGGGTTTCTTTCTTGTGGGACAGGAAACCCCACTGACGATTGTTGGAGGTGTGATCCCAACTGGGAAAAGAACAGAAAGCGTCTCGCAGATTGCGGCATTGGGTTCGGCAAGAACGCCGTCGGAGGCAGAGACGGCAGATTCTACGTCGTCACCGACCCCAGCGACCACCCCGTGAATCCCAAGCCAGGAACACTCAGATACGGCGTCATACAGGAAGAGCCACTGTGGATCATCTTCAAGAAAGACATGGTCATCAAGCTCAAGCAAGAACTTATGATGAACTCCTTCAAGACCATCGATGGCAGAGGAGCCAATGTTCACATCGCAGGTGGCCCTTGCATCACAATGCAGTTCGTGACCAACATCATAATCCACGGAATCAACATTCACGACTGTAAACGAGGAGGCAACGCCTACGTGAGAGATTCTCCGACACATTACGGTTGGAGAACGGTGTCGGACGGCGACGGAGTTTCCATTTTCGGAGGAAGCCACATCTGGGTTGACCACTGTTCTCTCTGGAATTGCCAAGACGGACTGATCGATGCGATTCATGGATCCACAGCAATCACAGTCTCAAACAATTACATGACTCGCCATGACAAAGTGATGCTTCTGGGTCATAGTGACGGTTACAAGAAGGACAAGAACATGCAGGTCACCATAGCCTTCAACCATTTCGGTGAAGGGTTAGTCCAGAGAATGCCAAGGTAACAACTTTTTCTCTCCTCTTTTTGCTGAATTAAGGTTTAAATCGATTTCAGTTGGTTAATGAACCCAAGTTTTTGTGTAATTGCAGATGCAGACATGGGTACTTCCATGTGGTGAATAATGACTATACCCATTGGAGGATGTATGCGATAGGAGGGAGTGCGGATCCAACTATAAACAGTCAAGGCAATAGATTTCTTGCTCCCAATGATGGTACCTTCAAAGAGGTTAGAGAAAACTAAATGAAATTAATTTTGTGAGTATTCATTCACGTGTGAATTGAATTCAGATATCTAATGGCTTGTTGGTTAATTAATCTGACTTCTAGGTGACCAAGAGGGAGGATTCACCTGAGAGCGTGTGGAAGAAGTGGAACTGGAGGTCATCAGGTGATCAGATGTTAAACGGTGCGTTTTTCACGCCGTCCGGTAAGGGATCATCTTCAAGCTATGCTCGAGCTTCAAGCTTGTCTGCAAAACCATCTTCACTGGTTAGTTCAATAACAGCAGCAGCTGGAGCACTTCAATGCAGAAAGGGGTCTCGTTGCTGAATGATGATATGCATCTGGACGGGTTAAGACAGTGAAATCTTTATAATCTGATATTGTTTCTAAGTTTTTTTCTTTTTCTATTTTTTAATATTGATTTGTGACGCTACAACCTTAGCTTGTGGCAATGGTAGGCACAGGCATAAGAGTTGATCACATGTTGAATGAGAAACCCAGAAAAAGTTGGGGGTATTTTAATTTGAAAATGAAGATATATATATATATATATGTTTATGCGAATATGAATTATTGAAACTGGGAAGCACATGGATGATTGATGAAAAACATTATCCGAGATAGACAGAGTCTGCTGAGAGCATTGAAAAGTTTGGCAGAGAAGAAGATGGGACTTGGAACAGACAAATTGAAACAATAATGAAAGGCATATATAATAGAAGGTGACAGTATTTGAAGTTTGTGAATAGTTACAAGATACGATTTGCCATAAATGTCACCACCAAATCCATTCTGCATAATAATAACGCTACCCATTGTCATGTTGGGTTGCCCTTTTTTTTTCTTCCTTTTTGTATTTTCCCTTCCGTCCTGAGAAAAATGCAAGATTAATGTTGAAATCCTCTCTTAAACTTGCCATTAGGATTGCCCTGAACCAAAAATCCTAAGTTCACGATTCAGAAAATAGAATCTTAAATGGCTGCTTATAATGAGGCTAATGACAACATTGAGAGCTTGTGGTCGAAGCTGATAGCAGGTGACCAAATGAACAAGATAAATACTACTCCGTTCCTTATTATAAGATCTTTTTAACTGAATTACGCAGTTTAAGAAAACAGCTAAAATTAGTTAAAAGTAATTAATACGTAGCCAATGCAGTTTTTTTTCCAAATATACCCTATGTATAAATGGATAAATGTGAGAGAGTAATTGTGAGATAAATGAAAAAAGAAAATATATTAAATACATTAAATTAGGGGTAAAATAGGTAATACCATATTAAATGCTCAGACAAACTCAAAGAGCATCTTATAAAAAGAGACAAACCTATTCAAAAAATTAGATCTTATAATAAAGGACAGAGGGAGTATATATATTTTTTATACAAAAAGTTTAGGTAAGTTAAGTGATCAGGACATGGCTCTAAGCTCAGAAAGTGCTTACAGAAATACTTATAAATCGTCCCATCGTCAAGGTCTTCATATCGGCAATATGATTCAAACTTATGATCCTGTGGGTTATAAGTCGATTTCTTACTGACTAGATTAACTCTTGTTGACTGAACATGATATATAGATAAGTGTTGGAAAAAGTATATGGGTTCATCCTTGATCCCAAGCCATTATAAGGCACAAATATAAAGTGGAAAAAGAATATACGTAAGAAGAGTGATCGATATACCCCTTTTGATTGGAAAAGGGTGGACTAGTCAACGCATTGAGGGGGGGAAAAAACTGTTTATATTATGCGTCTGTGTATATGTGCGGGGACACGAACAATAACTCCTTCTCTACATCCCAACTCTTCCTCTTCCTTTGTCGATGTTATTTTTTGTTTAACATAAATGGGATTTGGATTGTGATTCCGTTGGATTAACTATTTCATGAGATTCAGAGGCATGTGATCATTTTTCTATAATTGGAATGTTGAGGGTTTTGACATTTATTTTCCTTTTTTGAATAAAATGGCACAAAAAATGGGCCTCATGAATGTGCTGTAATACCAAAAAGTACAACAGAAATGAATGGTCCAAAACAATGAAAGGGAAGAGAGAAGAATGGAGGATTCAAACACAATACGACATTAATTCCATCGTTATAGCATGACATTTAAGTTCCTCTCTTTGGTGAACACTTGAGGCTACAAGCCCAGAAAGTACAACATATTGTCTGCAATGCAAAGTTTGTGTCCACATGCACAATACATTTCCCCTGAAAATATGCAAAAATGCACTTTTACGTACCCTTTAATTAAATTATTAAATACAAAAATGAAACAAGAGATGTCATTATTTTACATAATATACTGCCTCCCGTTCTTAAGAAAATTAGTTTAGTTAATTACTTATAATAAATAGCTATTACCTTATGAAAATACCCATACTAATCATGTGTCATAATTAGAATTATCATTTAATGAAACATTTGACATATGCAACTATTATAAGGATTACCTTGAGAAAAAATAGATAAATATGAGAGACATTGGAGTCTTATATTTAGGACCAAATTGAATGTCAAACTAGTTTTTATATTAAGAACTGAAGGTAATATATCACATAAAATTATTCATTAAAAGATTATTCACGTTTCTGTTATCATTTTTTTCCCATTCTTGCTCCCAACAAAATGTTCTCCTAAACCATAACTGTAGTATCATTCAATTTGATCAATTTTTTTGGGAGAAAAATCGATGCCCTACTTTAAGGCTATGCATGGATCAGACCAAATCGGGATGATGCCGAACCTAAGGTTTGGTCTGGTCAAGTCTGTTCTAACATCAACTCAAGATTGGGTCAAACCAGACTTGTGGCGCGGATAATATAAGACATCAAATTTTTTTTGTTTTTTTCCTTTGTGGTTTAGGCTTTAGGGTAAATAGCGAAAAATATCTCTCAATTCTCATTTGCATCAAACCCACTTGAACATATTAGAGAACAAGAGGGGAAAATACATTGACCGATCACAAGCGACATGATGTGGATGAAGACAAAAACTAAAGGGATCAACTTTGAGGAGAGAAAAACATAAAGGGATCGTTTTATTGCTTCTAAAACTAAGATCAATAGTGGAGGGAGAATTGATAGCAGAAAGATCAAGTGATGGCAAAAGGGAGATTGAGATCGACGAGGTTGACATCGATAATAACGCATGTTCACTATGGATTTTCTTCATGTGAAGAAGAGAAGTGGAAGAACAAGAAAGTTGAAGAAGACTCAGATCGCCATTCTGTCGCGACCATCTTCAATTGCAAGTTTGAAACTGCAACTATCTATTCTTCCATGTTTTTGTCTGAAACATCAGCAGTTATCTCATTTGTTCTTTTTACTTTCTCCACACCTAGCCCCAATATTTTCCCTCTCACTTTCCCCTTTCCTCTAAATATATTCACCGACCATTTCCCGTACCTACTGTCCTCTACCTCACCATTAGTTTCTACTTCAAGCTCTCACTTAGTCCCTTTAACCGAACCACTTCCAAATTCCAACCCCTTCATTCCAAACCCATACTACTTTGGCAAACAATTCATCCTATCGATACTGTACTCTGTTATTCACCAGTCGCCAAGCTTGGCATCACGCCCTGTTCCTCTTTTAAGCTCCTTGAATCAGGTGGGCTCTGTCAAGTTGGACGGAGATAACTATCTCACATGGGAATTAACAATAATGCCCATTATACAAGGATACCGATTGGAAGGATATCTTCTGGGTACCAGTGTTGTACCTCCAGAATACATACTCAAAGCAGCAGAGCAAGTCCATCCTAACCCAGATTTTGAAGACTGGAAGGCGACAGACCAAATACTCCTTGGTTGGTTGTTTAGCACAATAATTGTTGAGATCACTTCTCAAATGACCCATTTAAGACTACATCAAAACTGTGAAAAGCAGTAAAAGAGTATGTTGGAGCAAATACAAAGTCGTGAGTTACCTTTCTGAAAGGGGAATTCCAACACACAAGGAAAGGGTCCTTGAAGATGTGAGAATACCTCACTAAGATGAAGACTATATCAGATAATCTGACATTGGCTGGTTCCCCTTCATTGCTCTCTGACCTTATTACCCACTCTTGCAGGTCTGGATGCTGAATATACACCTACAGTGGTGTTATTGTCTGAAAAGGAGAACATAAGTTGGGCTGACTTCAGTCCGAGCTACTTATTTTTGAGTCAAGAATAGAGCAGTTCCAAACTGTCACATCCAGTAATCTGATATTTAGAAGTAAGATATTCCTAAGCATTTAAAGGTCAAAAAGGATAAGAAGAAATAAAAGAATTTTGATGGAAAATATTTACTAGGATTTTCCAAGTCAATTATGAAAGTTTAGCTAATTAAAGAAAATTAGTCAAAAATAATTATGAAAAAATATTTTCAAGTCTCAAAAAATTAAGGAATAATAAGGATAATATTCCTTGAGAAAAATATATGAAGATGTATAATTGGTTTGATGACCAAATTACCCATAGAAAAATTAGAAAAGAATTTAAGGGTGATTTAGGCTAATTTAAGGCCTTTTATTTGAAAAATTCCAAATAAATATTTTTAAGGAGAATAAAATTCTAAAAAAATTTGTATGAGATTATGGGATTAAAAAGAGACCCTGAAATATGAAATATTTTTCCTAATTCTTTTAACAAGTGGAAAAATCATTAATGAGAAGAAAAATAGTTTTCCTTTTTATATAATTAATGGGAAATTGAGATTGAGTTAAAGAGGGCATTTTGGGAAGAGAAAAATGAGAAGAATAAGTTATGGATCTGACAAAAAATAATTACATAGGTCAGAGTACTGTAATTATAGAAAAGAAATTAAACTTGGAGTAAAAGTGCACCGATAAAGTGAAGACTAGATTCTTGCACTTGATTTGGCCCACAATTGGCTACTTGTCAAGCCCCTAATAGAGAGCATTTAAAGTTTCCAAGTGTCAAGCCTTAAATAGAGAGGATCTTGACTTTTGAGATTAATTACATTTTGATTTACTTAATTAGGAGAGAGATTTCAAGAAGGCTTAGGTATTTGACACTTAGCATATCATTAAATGTTGGTAGTTGGGATATTTTAGATATTAAAGAGAGCTCTTCCTCCCTATTTTTCGGATCATTGATTTGGCCAAGAGAAAGAAGAAGCTTGCCATCCATATTCTTGAGTTCAAGCAAGGAGAAAGCAACCACCTTTGGTCAAATAAGCTTGGAGTAAAGGTTAGTGTATGGTCCTATGTTGCTTCTTGCTTAATTCTCTTGAGTTTGATGGTTGAAAAATCTATTCTTGCCCCTTGATGTGTGCTGGCCGAATTGATTAAAGGTTAGGGGAAGGAAGTTTTCTTGTTAAA